TATAGTAGTCCCCTACATAATTCCCTATATTCCCCCCTTTAAGGAGTTTAGACTATGGCTCTTGTGGCTTTGGGGCTTAGGATTCAGGATTCTGGGTTTAGGGTTTAGGGCTTAGGATGCTGGGTTTAGGGTTCAGGGCTCAGGGCTTAGGATTCGGGATTCTGGGTTTAGGGTTTAAGGTTTAGGGCTTAGGATTCAGGATTCTGGGTTAAGGGTTTAGGGTCTAGGATTTAGGGTTCAGGGCTTGGGATTCAGGATTCTGGTACCTTGACCCCGATTATGGAGAAACAAATACAAAAGACAGTGGAAAACAAAATGGAAGAAGGGATTAGATTTAGGACTTGGGATTTAGGGCTTGAGGTCTGGTCCTTACAATCTGGCGTGCAGGGCGTAGGGCTTAGGATCTGGGCTATTTGCTGTGCCATAGGCTAGGGAGCTTCTGCTATGAAATTCTATACTACCCCTCTGGGTTTAGGATTTAGGGCGTAATGAAGCCTCACTTGCAGAAAATCTCGGGGGGGTTCTATTCCTACAGTGCTCTGGTTTGGGGAAGGGTTTCGGGTTCAGCTATGGTCTTCAGGTATGCAAACACAATATCCTGCCCGTTCGTACGTCATGAAATCCCTCCAACTTACTGGGGGCTACTACAAAATACGGGTGTGCATTTTTTAGGGATCATATTCCTTTGTTCCCTACCACTTAAAAAAAAAGCCTCGGATTCCCTTGTTCCCTACCAACCCTAAACGCTCAACCCTGAACCCTAAGCCCTAAACCCTAAACCCTTTTTTAGGGATCATATTCCTTATTAACTACCAGTAAGAACAACCAGGGCAAGCGGCCGCAGCACCAGCGGCTTCGCAAAGCCCAGGTTCTCCACACACCAGGCTTCACTGCCTGCAGCTTTTATGGCTAGGGATACCTTTGAAGGGAATATCAGGGTTATATAGAGTTATACAGAGTTATGTAGAGTTATATATATATATACCTGCAGCTTGGGTTTAGTGTTTGGGATTTAGGGTTTGGGGTTTTGGGTTTGGTGTTTGGGATCTAGGGTTTAGGGTTTCTCAAAGATGTACAGGGTGTGTAGAGAGAGATATGGGGGGGGGGGGTTGTTCTAAAGGTCCTTGTGAAGAAAGACTTCCTCAAAAGGGGAATCCTAACCAAATAGGGGACCTACATTATGACCATTTGGGGAGAGGTATTTTGAACAACTACCATATAGCAGCACACAAGGACTACAATGGAGTGTAGGGCGCAGTATGTGATCCCTTTTGACGTCCATTGAATGCTCTGCTTCTGGAAGGGGGTCGTGTAGAGGGAGCCTCATTTGAGCTTTCGTCCAAACTCCTACAGTAGTATCCTCCTTAATGTCCTCTATAGTAGTCCCCTTTATAATCCTTTATGAAACCCCCTTTAGGGAGTTTAGACTATAGCCCATTTGAGAACCCAACATGCAGAGACTAGACTGCTGGCTGACGGAAAGGATGATGTAACCGGCTGATGAAACCCAGGAGTCAAGCAATGAGGCCGCTGCCGACAAACGTGGTGCACCCTGCCACAATCATCTCAAGATAGCAGGCGCCGGGGACCACTACCTGAACAGTTGTCATGATGCTTCTGCCGAAGAGGGTGCGGTGGCCACTAAACAGAAGTGCACCTCGCCGTGGACGATGTGGTGGGACAGCAGGGCCAACACGTGGCCGCCAAATAGGCAGCTAAACACTGTGGTTCCATCAGGCCGGGTCGTTCGACGCTTCAGCAAAGGATGGCTAGCTTCGCGCCAAGGGAAAGCCTGACAGAAGTGTTACACTGCTACACGTAATACACCAACGTGAGACTGCCATCAGCACGCAGAAGCAAGTGCATGTTGTACCAGCCTGACGATCCAAGACAACAGCAGAACTTTTTGTTGCTACAGCCGAGAGGTTCATGGCTTCCGCGGCCTCGGGCAGGACAGTGCAGGCGGATAGCTTCAAGTTGCTTGGCGGAGATAACTCCGGCCTTCTTGACAGCATCACGCTCATCAGGTGTAGCCTTCGCATCGAGGCTTGCAAGGAAGCGTGCTTCTTTCCTGAGCAAGGACCAGCAAGGATGAGCTCAGTGTTAGCTGGCCATACATGCAGCTCAAGGCCTTGTCAGGAACCGGCGAGCCATGCCAATGAGCGTTGGCGTCGAGCCTGTGCGCTCACAGGGGAGCCCTTCAAGTGTCCCCGTCTGCCCCAACTGCAGGAAGAGCACATGTGAAACTTAAGACACAAGTGATAAGGGTCTGTGAGAAATGGCAGGCCCTGGCCTATCTCGAGGAAGACCGCAGGTGCAGCGGCAGCCTCGAGCGCTTCCATGCCAGCGGTGAACCGCACGGCGTACCTGCGGACCGTGGCCACGGGGCAGAGCCGACTATCGTCCCAGCTTACACCCCTTCAAATCCCCATCCCGGCGCACTTCACGTGATCCACCCAGTAATCTGCCTGGCTGAGAGGCTCCGCGTGGCACTGAAGAAAACACAGAAGTATCACGAGTGAGCGCCTTTGCTAGATCCTCGGCACTCACCTCCTTGCCCAGCAGTGTGGAGAAGAAGGGAACCTTGAGCAGGCCACCCAGAGGCGCCTGTGGGCAGACAGCAGGCTCTTCGCAAGAAGATCCCAAACCCAAGCTTCACAATCAGAACTACAACATGCTACAACCCATTTCTGGACTTCTGACTGTCAAGACTACTCAATGACCCTAAACCCTAAGCCCTAAACCCTAAACTCAATGACCCGGTCCAGACCTTGGACACTTCTGCGCGGAAGTCGTCGAGCATGGGCGACATCAGCGGTGAGTGAAAGGCGTGGGAGACCGTCAAGGGCCGGCTGGTCACACCTGCTGCTTCTGCCACCTCCCGGACACCAAGAAGCCATCCAAGGTACCATAAGGTCTGGGGTCATGGGTTGGGAGCCATATAACCCCAATATAACCCCCCAAAAACTCCGAAGCCGAAGCCTGAAAGCTAAAGAAATGGATGATTGATTCGATTGGAAGAAGATGCCGCCAAGGATGTGGGCAACTCCTGGCCTTCAATACTGCCCAGTGAATAGGCAACAGAGCTCGCGGCCACAACGTGAAGGCACAGTCAAGAAAGAAAAGTGAGTAGATATAGCGGAGAAATACTCACAGCTTGAAACCCAATGGGCTTACATTCTTGGAGCCTCTGTTCAGGGCAGAAAACTATCCAACCAGAAGGCAATACGAATTGATGCATCTTCATGGCAAGAGGCTGCATTTTTTGACATGATTGTGTTCGAAACTCATACCCTTCCTAAGTTCCCCCCTCAATTGAATATACCATAGCTGCCGGGCCTTGTCTACAGCCTCCTTGCGGCCGCTGATGACTGTCATCTTAGGACCATTCACAGCTGCGATTGCCACGTTATCTGTGCTGACGCCAGACTTCTCAATGGCCTGCTTCACAGCCTCGCCACACCGTGGGTGCCAAGATCTAGTTAGATGTTCAGGTATTGTGACAGCACACAAAGCTGCCAAGCAGGAGTGGATAAAAGCTGCCAAGCAGGAGTGGATAAATGCAGCCCAACTGACCAACACACGAACACAGCAGCAGCCCGCAACCAGCCTGCTCGGGCGCGAAGAGCGCAGACATTGTGCCGACGTTGGCCTCGCACTTCTCGGCAATCAGCCGTCCGCGGGCGGCAATCAGGCGCAAGCCATCGTCCAACGGCAGCACCTGAGCCCCAAAGGCAGCGCAGGTGATGGACAGGCGTCATGGACTGGAAGTGGTTAGATTCAGCGTGTTTTGCTTGCGGCAGAGAGACTCCAGCTACCACGGCAGCGGCATACTCTCCCACACTATGGCCCAACACCTTAGGTTGTGAACTCAGCAAAACACATGCACATGCAGATGCTTTGTAGAGACAAAGAAAAGCACTGGCACCCGCACATGTCTCTCTCAAATCAGGATCTCACATGTCCCCAAAGGCGTAGGAAAGACATACTCAAAGGAACTGCCAAGCAACAGCACACGGCTCCAAACCCCGTGAGCGCCACAGCTGGGCCAGGGCATACTCTATGGTAAAGATGGCTGGCTGCGAGAACTGCGTCCTCAGAGTTTATGACGCTGAGGCAGCTTCGCCAACCACAGCGATTCCCCCCAATTCGACTGAGGTACAGTTCTATAGGGTTTAGAGCTTGGGCTTTTGGATTGGGCTGAGGTGGCATACAACGCAGGGGATTATTCGGTAGTTTCCCAAAATAGGGGGACCCCAGTATAGACCAATAGACTATAATCCTTATTTTTCGACCCCCAAAAAGGTACCCCTAATTTTGGGAAACCACCATTTCTGTCCAGACGCTGATTAAGAAGGCCCTGATCGTTGTCCGCGTACATCACCTGGCCGAGACCAAAAGCTGATTGCGCAGTGATTGCTAGGGAGCTCATATATAAGGTCATATAGGGTAATATAAGGGTTATAGGGCTCAAATAAGGGTTATATAGGGAAATATACGGATTATATAGGGATAAGATGGAAACAATAGGGGGTTACACACAGGGGTTATGTAGGCATAATGGAAGAGAAAATGGAAACTACTATTTAGGCTTGAGCAAAGAGTTTGGCAAAGCCCATTATCACAATCACATGGAATATCACGGAATCGAAGCCCTAAACTCTAAAACCCTAAAACCTAAATCCTAATCCCTAAGAAGGGTGTACACCTGCCTCCAGAAGCGGCGTTGGCAGCAAGCTGTCCAGGATCTGGGCGCAGTGATCCACTGCTTCCTTTCAGGGGACTCAACCCTAAACCCTACAGCCTAAACCCATGGAAGCTAGGCGGGTTGAAGCATAGGAATTATAACATAGGTTATCTAGGGTAATATAGGGATTATAATATAGGTTATATAGGGTAATACAGGGATTATATAGGGAGAATGGAAAAGAAAATGGAAACTACTATTCAGGGTTCAGCTGTTGTAGGATTCTATTATGCTGGGGTTAAAATCCTATGCCCCACCTTTCTTTACTTCACCTTTTGAGCCATCCAATCCTCAACCCTGAACCCTGAATCCCAAACCCTAAACCCTAAATCCCTTCATCCCTAAACCCTAAATCCCTTAATCCCTAAACCCTAAACCCTAAATCCCTAAATCCCTAAACCCTCATGATCTTGCCCTGGCCGCTCTGCAGGACTTCTCCGGACAACTCACCAGCCTCCAGCTTAACTTACTGGGGCCTAG